ATAACCAACTACTCAAATTTAGACTTACTTACAATATTAAAAGTAAACATATGTAATCATATCCAAATAGAAATAACGATCTCCAGTGAATAAAAATATTTCAGCAAATTTATAACTATAAAAAATTAACCATACATAAAAATATAACTAAATGATTTATTTAATTAAGGATGAAAAAAAAATGACTATGAAGATTTTCAATTCGTTAGAAATAAAGTATCAGCCATTTTTTTAAAGTTATACTACTGTGCAATAAATATTTGTCGTGGTTCGGGGTCATTATCGTCTTTACACATGCACAACGGAAGTAAAATAACCTTGACAAACGCAAAACCCGTTATTAAGAAGGTGATCATTGATTACATACATAATAGTTTTATAATATTAATATAATATAATAAATCCCAACATTCTCCCTAAATCGATATAATATTCTAAGTTAAAAAAATATATATTTTTCATTAAGTTAAATAATGCGAAATTTAATAATTCAATTCAATTCAATTAGATTAGTAAGTTAGTAAATAATAGTTGTAAAATGTATAAATAATAAACTAATTATTATGTTTTTTTTGAGCATATGAAGTTTTAAATATGATTTACAATTATATTTTCTATATACTACTCAATCTATCTTTGGTTCAAAATTAAAATATTAAAAATTGTATATTAAAATGAAGATAAAAAAAAAAAATAATAACAAAACAATAAACTCATTCATTATGAATACAATTTTAAAAAATACACAAAGAGTCCAATAAATAACATTAATTAGTATGACAGATTATAATAAAAATGTACTCAAAATTAAATAATTTTTGACAGTATAAACACATGAAATATGAGAGTAAAGTCGTATCGATTACAACGGAAACGTATATACTATAGTCAGGACCGTCGACAAGGGGGATAGGTAACAGAATTGTTTTGCCCTAGATTACAGTCTAGGAAAATTTAAAGAGGGCTCCCTTAAAGTCCAAACTGATTAGAAATACTTGACGTTAGCCATTAAAGATTATTGATATTAATATATTATTTCTTAACTATTTTTTTTTTTTATGAAATATTAATACATTTAATTAAATAAAATTAACTTTAATTTATATTTCAGTACTACATTTTCAGCTAATCTAATTTTCTAAATAGTTAAAACTGTAATTTATTATGGTTATTGCCGAGTGTGAAGATAAATATAGTAAGAATAATATAATTTTATCTAAATTTACATAGAAATTCGTTATCGCAAATATTGACACAACATCCAATTTCTTATTTTCTAAGGCTATTTATAAATTATCTAGGAATAAATTAAATTTTAATTAAATGTGGTAACAAGTAATACATTGTTGAGAAGTTATTAAAATGTAATTCATTATATCGATATAATTAATTGATCATGATTGGTTGAGATTTGGAAAATGATATTTACCAACATTTCTACAAACTTGGTGTATAGTTTTTTATCTCACACGAATATTATTGAGACGTTTAAGAGGCCTTCGAATTAATTTACCCAGGCTCTACAAATCCTTAGGATGGCTACGACTGTAGTATACACCAGTAACAATTGAGAATCGATTGGTAGAAAATAATAACAAAATATTGAATTGTACCCAATACCTAAATGTATTAGAAATATTGTCATCAAAAAAGACAGCAAAATTCAATAAACTTTTGAATATTTTTACAAATTATATTATATATTTATACATATAAAAAAAAAATAATAATAATAAATAATATAAAATATTTTTTAATGTGATATTTAAAAAAAATATTTGTGTGTATTATTATTATTTTTTGTAACTATTTAAAATATTTCAAATTAAAATGTTTGGAAAAAATAATATGATCAATTTACTTTAACAGCAACTTTTTTGTCTCTTTATTGCTTTTATCCAAAAGATAATATAGGTTGACTAATATTAGGTTTTTTCTGTGATAATACAGTGATTAAAAATGATTTGTGTTACAAAACAATGGGTGAGATATTTTACAATAAATTTAAATATAAACTAAAATAATTAAAATATGGAAACCTGCATTAAAGAAAAAATAAAAGATGAATGAAATGACAGAAGGAGAACGATGATTGAGAAAAAGGATTCTATTAGGGAAAGAGTAGCTAAAAGAGGAAAGTTTCATGAGAAAATAATTTGATTTAAATCATATATGGTTTCGTGTGTTTGGAGAGTGCAAAGGGGAGAAAAATAAAGTGAAAGAAAATTATTTTGGATCGGGAAAGTTCCAGTTCCCGGAACCATGGTAAGTTAGATGAGATAGATAGATGAGGAGATAGATCTGTGCTAAGTGACAAAGTAAAGAGGAAGAGACGACTAGGAGTCAGTTCATGTTTTTTTTTTTTGTGGGTTTTGAGAAGAATGAGAAGGAAAAATAGCAATCTTATAATTATGTATTTAAATTGTAGAGAAAATTACGTAGGATAGTTACTAGACTACAAGGTATATTTTTTTTATTTGTTTTAAGGTACTTATACATCTACTCCTTCTGTTTTCTTTAAATAATTATAACTAATTAACAATACGTTTCATATTCAATTTACATTTATCAAAGTTTTCAGTTATCAGGAAAAATATCTCATCATTTATTTAAAAATAAAAATAATTTTTTCATTTTAAAATCGAATGCGAAAACCGTTTTTATAAACAATGGAAGTGGTAAAATTATTTAATCTATAATCCGTTATGTGTTATAGAACACCCAGAATACAGTAAAAACAAATTTAATAAACTGTTATAAAAAAAAAATACTTTTATACTATTATAATATTTTAGTATAGATGGAATATCATCGTATATATAAAATAAAGATATTCTACATAATTACCAAACTAATATTTTGAAATGAGTAAAAAAAAGTATATCATAAAATACCCATTGAATTATTGTATTTTTTTTTTTTTTTTAAGGAAACATGCAAGGAAATATGGGTATATTATAAAATAATTAATTCGATTATTATGTATTATTTAATATCAATACCTTAATATTACACCATTACATCAGATTTTATATATATATAATTTTATTTCTTGATAGATTTGTTACATACTTCAATTGAAAATACAGATTTAGAATAATATGATAATTTAGGCTAACAAGTATCTACATAAATTTAGATATAATACTAAAAAAAATTGATATAGTTTTCTTCAATGACTTCGAGTACAAAAGCAACTTATACACGGTAGTGCAAATTCAAAGAAGAAAACCTTGAAGGACCAAGGTGAGCGTGAATGCACTACTATTTAATTCCACAGTATTACAAGTCAGATTATGTATAATCATATAATATCCAAGTAGTTATAACTATGGGCTATAGCCATCTTTAATGTTTGCAACATGCGGAAACTACATTTTTTTTTCAATTTCAATAATAGAAAATATATGAACATCAACTGATGTTAATACATACCTATATTATATTTATAAAAGTTTAATTTTACAGTTAAAAAAAAAAAAAAAACATTTAATAATTTATCATGTTATCTTACCTAATAAATGATAATTATTTTTAAAAATATACAGAAGTTTAAAAACATTAAAATTAATTGATGACAATTAAATCCATTAGTTTGTTTAGTGTTGAAAATTTTAAAACTACAAAATAACAAGATTAATAATAATAAAATTAACTTTATTTTTCACTATATTTGTATTGTTTATTTATTTAATTTTTGTAAAACTATCAAGTTTTTTGAACATATTACAGCATTAGTTTTTTGGGTAGAAATAATACGTACTAAGTACATGATTTTATTTTTTATTTTAAAATAAGAATTTTCTTTTAATGTCAAACCAATATGTAAATAATATGGCCACCTGCCATTAAAGTTAATATGAAAATATCTACGATATTAAAACAAAGCATTATTAGTTAGGAATATTTTATGATTTAAAAATAAATATATTCATATGATAATTTTCCATCATATTAATATTATACAAGGTTATGCACTAGTAGATGCATTACAAATACTAGTATTCACTTCAATGTTTATGTAACAAAAATAATGACTTATTTCTAAATTGATTCAATTTTAAAATACATAATAAATACAATTAAATTAAACAAAACAAGAACAATCAATTTAATACGTACCCAAGAAATAAAACTTTTACATAGTGATACATGATGATCAATGCACTTATGTATAGCTTATAAATGATGACGTCATAAATATTCTACGATAACCAAACATGAATAAGAATCACATAAGTGAACAAATTATATTAAATAAGTTTTGTACATATTATGTATTTTTATAACAAACAAGTGATCACAGTACATAAATTTATCAGTGTGCTATGGCAGATAAAACATTATGATAATAATAACAACATAATTCTCATTATAATATGTGTGTTAATTATTCACTGAAATACAAAAACACCATGAAAAATGGTGTAGAACATTGAGTAAGAGACTTTTAATCACTGAATAACAATTAAAAAAACACGGTAGGAACAAGGCACATATCACTGTGAGAATTAACAGTTTATTATTATTATTTTTTAATAAACGTTTGGGATTTTATGTTCTCAAGACTTTTTTAATATTATTCAATTAGAGCAACTTCAATGTACATTTTGAACGTGCCTTGTTGCGAGTTTTATTGTAAATCACAACGACAATAGGTTCTAGTGTAAAATCTGTATTTGTGTACACGGAAAACTAACATCGAACTCATTTGTTTAAAGTTGATGATTCGTGAAGTCCATAACAACAAAATATACAACAATGAGTCAATGACTCCAACACAAATATAAGTTAACGCATACACGACTAACACCGATCGTAAAAACACGTCTCAGTGTGCCGTGTGTACACTGTATACTCGTATACACATACGAGGCTAGTTTCAACACTATGTCATTAGTTATTACTCGTTACGTTGGCCGTCGACGAACGCGGATTTTCACGCATTACTGCTTTAGGAAAAAAAAATAGGTAATATAGTATTTATAACTTTTGTGTACCTCTAGTCTTGTTGTGGAATACAGACGATGACGACACCGTGTTCTGTTGTTATTTCGGAGTCGATCAACTGGACACGATTGGAAATATTCCTACTTTTCAACGACAGTCACTAATAATTCTTCACTCGTGTAGCGTTCGAAAGACGTCGACGACAATTATAATACTTATAATTGTAATACATATATAAATATATATTAGCTATCGTGCCAGTGCGGGGATTATTTGTAAAAGCGGAGTAATGACCGAGCGAACAAATACAGGTGAACAACGGTTATGTAGCGGTGAGAAAACGGTAAAAAAAAAAAAAAACGGAAAATACCGCGGAATTTCTTTTGTATTTATTTCTAATTAACGTCAACCACTTACTCGCACGACGTCGACGAAACGATATAACGAATTAATATCAAATATTACCAACGGCCGCGGACCAGTTACGTACCAAAAACCGCACGCGCGCGCGCAAGACACGGCGCAGAATGTGTGTGACACACGGACGGCGTCGTCGTATCAACCGGTGGTCGGCGGTACTCTGTGCGTGCGTCGGCGGACGATACACGACGTCGTCGCACGCACCGCGCACGGGGGTGGGGTGGTACGGTTTACGCACAGCGACGTACGTACGGTGTTGGTGGTGGCGGCATCAGACTCTTCCTGGAGCGGGACAGACACGTTGGAAGCGTGCCGCGTAGTTGAACCATCATATCGGTGTTCGTCGGTGTCCGCCGCGATACCGGTTTCAACCCGGAGACGTGCGTAGAACTTATACCGTCGCCCGAACCGCATCACCCCTGGTTCAGACACTTCTCTCCTATAGCCGCACGGCGAAAAGCCCGCGATGCCCAAATTAAACGCTTGTCGCGCGTCACCGCTACTGTTGCATTCGGTGGTAGTCGGGTTACAGACGTATAACACGTGATGCTTGTACAACGACAGGTTGTACAACTTTGATTGATATGATCTCACAAACTATTATCGTACCGTGTATGGTATTGTTGTACAATGTGTCGTACGACGAGTTTGATGAGAAGTTTGAGCATGCATAAAATCTGTCGTACTACAAGGCGATCGATTGGTGATACTAGTATCACGGATATACTAGTATATTAGTATCACGGAGTCACTTTAATTATGCCAGTTATCACTACAATGAATATTATCACAGAATATTATATTTTACTGCTGTTATGCGTTTTAAATATTTCAAATTTGTATGTTTCGTCCATTCTCAAATAATTGAAATAATCTTTTGGCTCATTACTACGTAATTCATGAAGCAAATTAGTATTTGAATACTTATTACGTTGTAGTAGCCAATTTTTACACCATTTCCTGTTTTTTCTTTTTTTTGGAATCCAATAACAACGCAATCATTATACTAGCTGCGGCTTTTTTTGGACCTGGGTGGTGCCATCATTTTATTAGAGTATAATATACCTATCTGTATTTAAATGTGTAATAATTTGAAACGTGAAAAAATGTATTTTAAAAATTACACACTGGTACATAATGATAATAATAATAAGAATTATCGTAGTTATTAAGGATTATAAAATATAGTTGTACGACTTGTAGTTTCATAATATGAAATAATGTTGTATGCGTGTGTGTCAATAATTACATACTACAAGATACGATTTTCGCCTACGATTATTGTACGACAAATCGTATCGTGTATGAGACGCTTTAGGAATATTGTGGACACGATAGTAGTCTTACTCGTTGCCGTTATCAACATGTTATTTAAATGTTTATTGAACGTTTCCAAGTTATTCCAGTGCGTACATAGATCACATCACAACGATATCCCGTTGTGAAAACGAATCGTCAAAAAATTGAAAATATTTCAATTTTCTGGATATTGTCACGAATTGTTTAAATAACATTTGGTGATGGAAGCTTAGTAAGTCTTTGTTTAAAACAAATAATGTACCCCACAATCAACTCCCGAAAACTTGAAAAAAAAAATTACAATTTGTACGATATTTTTTTTATATTTTTGTTTCTAGTCTTTTACTTTTATGATAAATATTCGTTAGAAATTCATAAATATTTTATTAAGTTTTCGTATTACTTACTTTAAGGATAGATTATATTTTTTGATATTACGGTGGTTTTTTTTGTTTTTCTAAACGAAAATTAATTTCACTGAGTCAGCAGTGATTCATATATATATATAACAAATACCACTCACTCACTGATTATCGCTACTATTACTAATAACAATCATATGAACTTACAATTTGACATAGTGTTTCCACTAACACTCAGATGGGTAATAAAAAAAGGTTTTTCAAAATTTAACCTCTAAAGGGATAACAATGAAAAAAGGTAAATAAAAAAAAAAAAAATTGCTTAGCCAAAAACACTAAAGCTATGACTATGAAATTTTGTGAGTAGTTTTTTTTATGATGCAGAGACCTCACAAATTTTTTTTTATGCTTTATCTCAAAAACGATAAAATTTATAAACTTGAAATTTGACAAAGTGATCTCTCCAATACTCTAAGCTTTATAAGAAAGGTTTTTCAAAATATTGACATCGACAAAGACGATTCCATGATGCAAAACCCAGTAGGTAATTCAGTATACAACCAAAACTACCATACCGATTCATTTGTAATTTCGTTGTATTTTTTTTATAACCAACAGTTAGACCAAACTAGGCTTTAAATAATGTAAGATAGAGATAGCGTAAAAATAATCCATTAAAAACTATGTGCCGGACAAAACTATTTGGTGCGAAGCTGGGTAATTCAACTAGTATATAAATATATACTAGTAGTTATAGAACGAATATGTGAGAGATAATATTGATGTAGCGTCGATAGTGGACAAGATGAGAGAAAATAGACTGAGATGGTTTGGGCATGTGATGAGGCGTGAGGAAACAAAGCAGTAAGAGTAGTTATGAAAATGAAAATTAATAGGAAAAGAGGAAGACTAAAAAATAGATGGTTGTTTACGATTGAGAATGAGGGGCTGTTGGTGTATTTGTAAGGGATGTAAAAAATCGAGACGAGTGGAAGTTTAGGACAAAGGTGGCCAACTCTAAATAGTTGAAAGAAATGCGAAAGTGAAGAAGATATATATTTGTAGTATGTTTAGTATTCACCGATAATAATACAATATTCATCATCATCTTCACTTTTGGTTCATGAATTTGTTCCAAGTTATTTTATGTGTAGCCAACTAGTTCTCTTCACGTAACCAAGTTTAAATTCAGTAGTTGAATATTACTTTTGATGATTTCAGTTTTCAACTCTAGATACTTATAACGAAGCTATTTTAGGTTTGCGGCAAAAAAAATAATGTAATTGAAATGTATCGGTTGCATACATAAGAAGATCGGAAATTGATAATAAGTTGATACTTCGAGCGAGGGAATTCAATTTTTAGTAAAATATGATGCTATTTGTACAAAATTCTTTAAACGCAACTGAATCTTTTCCATAAATATTCCATGCTTAGTTATTAAATTATAAACTTATTTTTATTTGTTATCATTGAGATGTAGTAAATTTTGGTTAACACATGCGTATGATACAACTACCATAATATAGGTTCGCAATAATTTTAGAGAAATACCACATCATTATATAATGAAATTTACTAGAGTATAGTCAATAAATACTTAATCAAAATTAATAATATCAATATTTTTATACTTTTGAATGTCCTATGTTATAAAATTGTATTAAAAGAACATAATAATCTACATAGAGTAAAATGTGTAATAAATAGATACCTAACCTACCTATATAATTTAGTAAATAAATACATGTATATATGTTTAGACAATTTAATTAGAATGAAGATAATATCATAAAAATGTTTTTCACAACATGTGAAAAAATATGACTCAACTGGAAAGAATCAACACATTTTAATAGCCTAATAACAACTTAATAATACAATGACCTCTACCAATAGTTATTAACTGCAACCTGCAGTGCTTAACGGAGAAGTATAAGATGTATCAGCATTAGTTTATTGAGCAATTAGTTTAAAACAACTGTAAACAATAAGTCATTGTAATAGATTTAAACAATTGAACTTTTTGATAGATATCGAATATTTTTATTTATATACTTAACTATAGAGAACAATACGCACAATGCAATTTATTTTATAATTTTATAACTTTAATATTTAAGTTAATTTATAAACTTTTACATAATTTATTTATATGATGATATAATATTGAAGCTGTTTATTATTTCATAACAAAATAGGAGGACGTTATCACTAATATAGTATTTTGATAAATTGTATTATAAATGTTTCATTATAATTAAAATATAACACTTTAAAAAAAGGATTTTAACAATTTATTCTAAAATTCTAAAACGATAACATTTACTAAATTTATATATTTCATATTTTATAGAATAAACGTTTTCTGTGAATGAAAATTTTAACTTCACATGTAACTTAGTAAAATATAATATGAAATTATATTGGATACAAACTTTAATAGGTAATAAGAAAATACTTATTATTAGTAACCAATATAGTACATGCTTTTATAAAAATTCATAGTATTGTCATAACTTGTTAAAATGTATGTTTATTTATAAATATACTTGTAAAATGTAATAAATCCTGTATTGAATTTATATTTGACGAGTGTTAATTTTAGTCATCTATTGTTCGATGAGAAAGTATTTGTCACTATCATAGGACGTCATCTAGGTTAAGTCAACGGAAGAGTAGGTAAAGTATAGATCATCGCTAAGATAAGTTTAAATGCTATAGTCAAATTATTTTCCGAGGGATTGTCAACGACTCTATACAATTGAATGTGTAAGCTAAAAAGAAAATTTTATAAATCTAAATAATTTCAAACATAAGAGTAACAATTGATTTTTTTTTATCAGTTGTATACTGATCGAGCATAACTGTAGTATAAAATAGTATCAATATTGTATTTTTTAAACTGTAAATCTTAGACATGAATTAAAATTTACATAAATCAAACATAATATTGGTTCCTGATAAATACAAATCATTTTATTTGTTATGAATAAAGGTGTATTACATTCAATGTATCTTTTAAGACTGAAAAAAATATTTTCCGAAATTATTTTATTTGAATACCGTTTTTTCTTTTAATATGTTAAAAATAATAAATAGTAATTTAATTAAATAATAAGTAAAGAGTGTGTTTTATTAGTTACCTTTATTATTAATAATTCACAAATATAATTTATAATATCATTAGTTGAATTCAAAATCAAATTAAACTGATTGATCGGCATGTATTTTCTATGTAACGAAACTACATACCTAAATACCCAAATTATTATTGTGTAAATGCGTATAATTTGTGTAGCTGTAAAATACTAACTCAACTATTGAACAAGTGTTTATAATTATCATATAATTACATTATTTAATTGGCAGAAACAAACAGTTAGTCACATACATCGTTATAAATTCTAGGGATTTATATGAATTCTGAAGATATATTTAAATATTAAACATTGTACAAACAATAATTTGAGTTAATATGTATTGGAAAGCGATCTATAAATTATAAGTTTAAACATTGTTATCGTTTCACTTCCTGATCATTTATGAATAAGTATAAAATAATGTACATGGAGATTCATAAGTATTGATAAAAAACATTTTTTATTTAAGATTTAAAATTTTAACGTAGATATAATTTTGAATTTTTAT